CCCCCCCCCCCCCCCCCCCCCCCCCCCCGGGCGCGCACGCACGCCCGTCAACTCTCTCTCTGCAGCAGGTGATCATGCGGCCAGGGCGACACCGTCGTCGGCTACCGCCTTCCAGGTGGCCGGAAACCCTTGGCTATCGTCCGCAACCGGAGGTCCGCGAAATCGCGCTTCTTCCGACCCCTCTCGCGCCTGCAACAACCTTGCCGACAGCAGGGGCACCGCGACATGCGGCACGGGGTCCGGGGGGGCGGGGTCGGCGGCGAGGGGGCCGAGCGTGTTCCGGGGATGGCGCTCTTCTTCCAAGGCCGCTTCGATGTCGTCGTCGACTGCTGGCGCTGGCGGCGGTGACCCTGGCGCAGAGGACGCGTCATCGCCGTCCCCGTTTTCGCGAGGGAGACCGTTCCGGGGATCGTTCCTCCCGTCGTCGGCGACTGGGGCTAGTCCTAGCTCCACTGGGCTGGGTGCCGCCGTTGGCGGCGACGCTGCCAGTTCTTCCGCGGAGACTGGGGCGGGCGGCGGCGGTGCGGGGGGCCTAGGGAAAGGTGCGCGCTATTAGTGCTATTTAGTCTGTCGCGTCATGCCGGCAGCAGCCGATTGTTTGGTGTAGATGGATGGCATCCATCCCCCACTTTTGTTTCATCGCTTTTACCGAAGTGATGCATGCTGGTTATCTGCGCCGATTACGAACCAACAGCGAGGCCGGTTGGCGTGTTTTGCACGCAGCAGTCTCCAGAATGGACCGTCCATTTTCGGGAGTGTGGAGGTTTGGGTAAAGCTGCTGTAGTTGACACTTTTGAGAGCTGTCGTTACAGTGGCTGCACGAAAGGGTTGGAGTTCCCACCCCCATGCTGCTCTGTTCGCACTCACCTTTCAGTACTCCTACATTTTCGAGACAAACACTGTCGACTCTTGCTGTTATTATTATTTGCAGGGATCGGTGCGGGGGCGCCGTGGCTTGCGCGGGGGCTCAAGGCCCTCGTGAGGGGGGGAAGGGGGGGGGAGACGGGGACCCAGCTCCCGTCGCTGGGAGCCGTCATGGAAGCGGTGGACGCCCGCGGGGCCCAGGACGAGGTGGTGGCGGCGGAGGGCAGGAGCAAGATGCAGGGGGTGATGTCCTCGGAGCTGCCCACGCACCCGCAGATGCGCGAAGGCATGCTGCCCAACGGGCTGCGTTACATCATCCTGAACAACCAGAGCCCTCCGGAGAGGTTCGAGGCGCATCTGGAGGTGAGAGAGAACCCTCTTTTTTTTTTTTTTTACGTAAGAGCAGCAATAAGTGTTTTTTTATTGAAGTACCGTAAGAGTCGGAGAGATGGCACCGGTCGGAGAGATGGCACCGGGGTGCGATAGAAAACCCGAGGAAACAATATTTAATTCGATTTACGCACCGGGTGCGATCTCACCGACCCCCAAATCCAAGATTGAACTCCTTTTCAGCTGCCGGAATGAGGTACATGTGCGTACCTTTTACACGTGGGGGCTGACTCAGCGGAGTGCCACTCCCTTGTTGTCGTTGTTATTGTTGTTGTTGTTGTCTTCACATTAAGAACCGTTCCGATCTCTCTCTACCCAGTACCTTCATATGTCCGTACTGATCCAACACTTGACGCGGTCGATTCCCGTGGTCACAGGCTAACTAACCCTAAAAAGGTACGCTAAAAAAAACTGGCCCCGAGGGGTCCGCAACTCAATAGAAATCAACGACAGACATTCTGGAGTCCTCCGCTCCCTCTGCGCGCTATGCGAGGTAACAACTGAGACTAGGAGTCAGCATCACGGGCCAGAAGAGAAAAGAGGTACACCCCCCTGGTTCAATCTTGGTGCTTCATACGCAAGCAGAGACATGTCCATTTTACCTACACGATTGGATGGTCGCGGTTCACGCGGGATGCCAGTTGTTTTCATACTTTTATTGTTATGGAAGTTGCCAACCGTACACTCAACAAAACACACAACGTACAAGCCGCACCCTACCCCACCTTACACAACCCGAAGCTTTTGTACTTCTGCGTACGTACTGGTATCCGTAGAAGAAGACCGAAACGAAAGCGGGAACCGATTGATACCGTGTGTACTGGTACCAACTGAGATGCGCTATTTCGCCGCTTTTTTCGGGGCATGTTGTATGTGTATTTCGAAGCCTTTTTTCCGGCTCAGATATATGTGCGTGTGTGTGCAGAAGACCGTGTGCGTGCGTGGGTACCTACACTGGTACCATCAATACTATGGCAACGGTCGGGGAGATGGCACGGGGGTGCGATAAAAAACCCGAGGAGCAAACATTTAAAAAAACGATCGCACCCGGTGCCAACTCTCCGACTCTTACGGTAAGAGCAGCAAGAAGGACAGAGAAGGAAGCAGCAGCGGGCGCAAGAAATTTGGAACTTTTTTTGGGGTTGTTGGACGTGTTTTTGCTTTTCCGTGTCCGGTGCTGTTTGTTTTTTGGAGCAGTTCTGGGGCTGGCGTGTTTTGTGAAAGAGCAGACCGGTGCGTTTGGCAAGAATAAATTCATGGCGGACAAGCAACTAGCCTCTGCATTGCGTTGAGTCTAGATCTCCCTATTCCGCACCCTTTTTCCAAGCACACTGATTGTTTGGTGTTTTTCTTTTGGCACACGGTGTCGAAAGTGGGCGCCGTAAGGTGCAAGCGTATCACAACAAAAGAGGCCCAGGCCCCACGGCAGTAGAGACCTATGTATGCAGTTCCAGTCCTAAGCTCATTCTTCTGTTTGGCGGCGTTGCCACAAAGATGGAGATTGAAGTGTCAAAAATAATACATGCCACCACCTGTACAGGCGCGCTGTTTGCCGTGTTTTGAGGCGTAATAATGCTCAAGTTGCTGCCGCTGCTGGTTGTTTTTCTTTTTCGGCCGTTTCGTGAACGATGATATAGGTGTTCGCGGGATCGGCGGACGAGCTCGAGTCCCAGCAGGGCATGGCGCACCTCGTTGAGCACGTGGCCTACATGGGCAGCCGCAAGAGGTATGCATGGGCACTGCTGTACCCATGGTACACACCTCCCACCGAAAGATGAATGTTATAACGCGGGGAGAAAGGAGTTCGTGATTGGTGTGTGTACATTTCTGGATGATCGGCAAAGCCGAAGATACACCATCTGAAATGACACGAAATTTTTATGTAGTTGATGTTTACGTTCCTGAGTGCTTGGTGAAGCAGCCGCGGGGGTGCATGCCATCTAGGAGGGCGAAACTGGGGTGTTATATACCTCATTTACGCTCGGGAAAGCAGTCGACAAGCATGTTCTGATGGTCATTAGGACGACCTTTCATCGTTGCAAGGACAAAGGTGAATGTCTCAATGTTCAGACCGCAGCGTTTTTGTTCTTAGTTTAACCCTCCCCTTATAACCCAATGTTCAATTTCTTCCGTTGGGGCCCCGGTTGTTACCCCGAACATATTTCAGACGGGACCCGGGGTAGACCCATGGAACGAAAAACGGAAAGGGGTCCAAACCACGTTTTTTTTTTTTTTTTGGGGGGGGGGGGGGGTGTACTCATAGTCGTGCATGCCGTAGTCGTCAGACCATTGACCTCGCATCCCTACAAAGCCGGGACGGAGCACGCCGGGTTCTCACCGGACCAGGCTCTCACATCACCGGCGCATCCGGCGAGTCGCATGAAGGGTGCGCTGCATCCTGCTAAGGTTGTTCGGCATCTTGTGCTTACTTCCTTGCGTACGGATGACAGCTGCGTATGACTTAATTTATTTTCTGGTGCTTTCACATCCAGAGACAGTTATAAGCACTGCTGTGTAGCTGCCTCGAGGATGCTTGACCATTTTAACACAACGTGGTGCGATCATCCCCCTTGCGCGGAGTGAGGGTTCTCCACCCCGCACAACATGATCTACTCGACCACCATTACGGTTACCGCCAAGAAAAAAAAACAGAGGTAAAAAAAAAAAACGGTAACCTGGTTGCCGAGTTCACGAAGTGAATTGGCTTGTTTTACAACGTCGTTGCCAAGCGACGAAAACCCAATCCCGATGGCAAACACCGGGGGGGGCGGGGGTGGTAGATGTCCTAATTTGGTATCTACATGTCCTAATTTGGTAAAAATTGGTATCTACGACGGCGAAACACTCTGTTGTCCTACGTATTGCGCCTTTCTTGAAATATTTCTCAGTATCTGTGGCAGCAAGAGTTCACCCGGGCACCCACACGGCGCTTTTCGCACGCACCGCTGGCCGCTTTGCTTGGCTCTATGCCTCTACACCGACAGCCACAAACATTTTCATTTTTTTTTTTGTCTCTTTTTCCCTTGATAACATTTTTGATTTTTTTTTGTTTTATTGTGTTGCCCTTCCTTCTCTTTTCCCCTTTTTTTTTTGGCGGTTGTTGTGTCAGGGAGCGGCTGTTCGGCACGGGGTCTTCGACGAACGCCTACACGGACTTTCACCACACGGTCTTCTACGCCTCGTGCCCGGTGCTAACCCCTCCCGGGTGGGGCCGCCCGACACCCATGCTCGGGCGCGCTCTTGGAGCCCTGCTCGACGTTCTCGAGGTGCGTTAGGCCGCGTTACCCCATGTGTTGTGCCCTCAGGTTGGCGTACAAGTGTCGTACCCATTGATGCACATATGAAAGTAGGGTGACATAAGAACTCTCGCGGGCATAGCCTCGGGTTCCGGTTTCCCCTGGAAGGCTTCTTGCCTAGCAACCCAAGAGGGTTCAAAGAGGGGGCAGTTGTAACGCGTTGGGAAAGGAAGATCTGCATCTACGATAAACACATCTAAGATATCTACGATGAGGTTCTTATTACATTGTCCGTGTTTTTTGTGTGTTTGCGTAAGTTTTGTTAGTTTTTTGTTACCGAAAGCATGCACCACCTTGCTTGTTGGCGCGAACCGTTTGACAAGTTCCGAACCGTTTGACCGACCACTTGTGTGGTACACAACACACACACGGCTTTGTTTGCGATGGTGGGTCGAACGAATGTCTTGTTGTTGTTGTTGTTTTGTTTTGTTACAGGCTGTGTGCGAGGAGTCTCGTCTCGAGAAGGAGCGCAGCGCCGTGCTCTCGGAGCTGACGATGGTCAACACGATCGATTACCGCATGGAGTGCCAGGTGCTCTCCGCACTGCACGCCGAGAACCAGCTGTCCAGGTAAACGTTGTAGGGAAGGGGAGAGAGGACAAAAAAAAATTGTTTGAGGATGGATGGATAGGAGTATCCTGTGACGAAAGCCGCGGCAGCGGCACGACAGTTGTGCAACAGCAGTATCGATCGGCATGATTCCAAGCCCTCTACCAACCACTCACAAGCTTTTCGTTTATCTATGGAACGAGGCTCACCATTGAACAACCAGTCACGACTGCACGCGGTGTAGATGCGTCGTCCCTGTTTTTGCGGAAGTACAGTACCACTCTTGTGGCGTTTCCTGGAGTGGCGACCAAGCCATATCCAGGGAGGGACCACTGCTGTACCATGTGCACCATCACGTAGTCCACAGCACCCCACCCCTTCCTCTCGTGTACGACCTCGATGCTAATCCTTGCCAGCGCGCGTCAGTTTCACCTCTCTCTCTCTGTCTCTCTGTTTCTCTCTGTCTCTCTGTCCCTCTCTGTTAATGGTGGTAAAGGCGTTTTCCTATCGGCAAGGAGGACCTGATCAAGGGCTGGAACACCAAGGACGTCCTCGAGTTCCACAGGAAGCACTACCGCCCGGTAAGAATGCGAGACGCCGACCCTCCCTGTCTGAGTCGAGTCTCTCTCTGTCACCTCTCATGCGTCGGTACAAGGACCCAAGTAGTGTCTCATGTACAAAACCCCTGGCATGTTGGTGTTGCCGGTGTTGGTGCTGCTGGTTGAGGATGTGAGGACGAGCGTTGGTTGATTGGTTGATGGCCTCGCGCTTCATGTGTATAGAAGTTATACACAATCAGAACCCGAGTTAGGTTTGGACACACGTGGCTTCTGAAAAACATACATATTTTCTGAAAAAAATACTGCTACAGTCACCAAGGGTATGGTTGAACCTGCATACTGCGTGCTGATTGGTATATGCGACGAGGGTAGTCATCTCTTGGAACGATACTTGCATGACGCCATTACCTGCGCTTCTATACTACGTGGAACTGGCGCACGAGTTTAGCCGGGCATCACAATCCCCCAACTTTGAAACTGCCATGGACTATCGTATGCATACCCCCCTTTTTGTATTCTCGGGAAGGATAACGCCGTGCTGTACTGCATCGGAGACCTGAACGTCCCTTAACTTTGAACTGCCGTGGACTATCGTACCCCATTTTTATGTTTATTTTCGGGCAGGATAACGCCGTGCTGTACTGCATCGGAGACCTGAACGTCGACGAGACAGAAGACCAGATTCGCCAGATGTTCGGTCATCTCGGAGGCGTCCCAGACACGACGGTGAGATAACTGATCTGAGAGAGACATAGATGACGGCGCGAAACGAAAATAAAAATAAAACAAAACGTGATACGTCTTGCTCTCGTGGATTTCGAGTGTGTACAGTAGCAGTGGCATATGCAATTCGCGTGGGAGGGACTTACGATTTTTGTGCCAGCCTTGGTTTCTGCGAGTCCGCTGTCGGTTACCCGGTGGGCAATCATGTCATGTCGACAGAACTATTTATCAACCAAGCGAATGCCGCCCCCCCCCCTTATCGCGCTTGGTGATGTGAGAGCTTGGTCCGGTGAGAACCCGGCGTGCTCCGTCCCGGCTTTGTAGGGATGCGAGGTCAATGGTCTGACGACTACGGCATGCACGACTATGACTACCCCCCCTCCCATCGGAAGGAACGATTGGCCACCGGTGATCTGTCCTGTGGGAACAGTGCTCGTCCTCTGGAGGACGCACATTCAAAGTTATATCAATGAAGGCATGCAACACATAGGAGTACGCCCGCCCCTACCC